AATATTAATATTAAAAATTATTATCACCAAAATTAAACAATGACACAAAAACTGTTGAGAAAAAAACGAATTTGATATGTGGAATTAGTGTAAAAAAATGATTCGAAAAGACGCATTTTTATCAAAAGCGCTAAATCTTCGCAAACCTGTGTAATCGATTGGCGAACATTAAAACGTGGTTCACTACGGCGTGATTTTGCGAGTTAATTGGTTTCATCATCATGATAATTAATGTTTATGTAATTAATGTTAAAGCCACGAACAATATTATCGTGCGCGTTATATCTTCTTCCATTCACAACGAGATGCGACACGATGAATCGAATTCTCGAGATTATTTTTTATGACTCGATCATAAGTAATGGAAGCTTTGTTCAGCTACATCAGCTGACAAGAAAAGCTGAAGAGAATGAATACAAAAGATGACCTACTAACTTCATTTTTGTGTCCACGTTATTATCGTGGGACACGCATTTCCGATGATATTCGATAAGTCCCGATACACTGCGAATCTAAATGAGAAATCTCGAGAACAGGGGAAGAACATTATGGAAGAATATCCAGCAAAATCGACGAGAAAAGACAGTTGATTTAGTTTGGAAATTTGGAAGACATTACTATCATAAATTAACGAATGGCTTCTTCATGACATCGATTAAATCAAGTAAAAACTTGATAATTAATTGAAAAAAAGAGAGAGAAGTAATACATAAAAGTTTGCTACACTAAAGAAAGAAAATATTATAAAATTACACATTTTATTTAAATATTTATTCTTATTTTTAATCATTATTACGCTTATTTAAAAAAAGCTACTTTTTCCATTAAAAAATCTTAATAAATTCACTCTAATAAATTTACTGTTACACATATGATTGCCTTCATTATAGCACAAAGGAACTATATGGAAGGTGGTAATCGTAACAATTAATATCAATGTTTTTTCCGTCTTAATTATTCCCGGAAATTCCTGCAATATCTCGGACATTTATCGCGGAAACATTATAAATCATACGCAACGATAAAATTTATATTTCACATCAATACCGATCGTTTCCGGTGATTCGAATCTGGTCGCATTAAAAACGATTTATATGTTGTTTGAAGAATATTACGTTCTATTTTTATGTTCAATGTGTTCGATCATTTACGTCGAGAGTATAATCGGATCATGATGATAGTATTCTAAATCAATTTTATAGCGGATGCATACGAGGTTTTCCAGATTAAATTGATAAAATTGTAATAACAGATATTTTGGGGATTAATTTGTAGTTAATTTTTTAACATTATAAAATATTGTAAAAAATATTAAAGTTCAAAAATATACGTTACAAAATACATTATTGAAAACATTGTAAAAATAAAAAATATGTTTTATATATAACGTTACAACTGAGACACACACACATACACACATACATTAAGCATTTATTTTCACAAGACTCCGATTCCTAAGAAAAACTTATTTGTAGACGCGCATTATGACGTGTAAACAGACGCGTTTTATTTTTAAATCATTACAGAGTTTTTAAAAAAGATATGAAAGAGACGATCGTTAAGATATATACGAAGGAAGAACGGAATGAAAAGGGAGAGCGAACGGCCGTTGTCAGAGCAAACGTATAGCGGTGGACGCGTATATCGTCCGCCTACATCCAATCCGTCACCTGCACAACGCAATCGCGTGTGTACTGTATTCAAAATTAGCCAATTTGTCAATCTAGCGTGTCAACGATAACGTTCAGAAACACATACATTCACAGGGATCATTGCACGTATTGCGGTAACTTTATAGCACGTTAATCTTTATCATTGCTCTTGGGGGAAATTGTTTTTTAGGTAATAAACCTTCCACCTTAATCATCCGATCCACTCTCCGTTCGCTCCTTTCTGGGTCTCTTTTGCTATCTTTTGGCGTGAAGACGCATTTTCGTTCCGTTGTTTTAAGTAAGGGGGAGTCCCTTTGGGTGAGAGACGGCAAGGTTTATGGCTCGTTGCTATGGCAAGTTTAAGAAAGTTAACGTAGCGTTCCGCTTTTGCGAGAGGTCTCGCCGGCGAACATGTCGACCAAGATGTCGGATTATGAACTTCGCCGAGGAAACCAGGTGCGACGAAGACATGAAGCTCATGGCCTAATTTCCATTGTACATTTGATTTCGTACAAATTCAATCGTCTGTATCTGATATGAAATTAAAGGCAAGATATAGAAATAACGGTATGTGTGCGCACGTTGTTCTTTTAATATCTAGATTAAAATTTTAAATAGATATATGTACAGTTTTTTTTTGTATATATATGCCTATTTAAAATTTCGTGTACAGCTCTCTAAGGAATCATGAAGGTTACATCTCTCTCTCTTTCAGCAGAAATAATAAGGATTTTGCGAAATATTTAGTGGATCAATGATTTTCAATTTTTCGTTACAATTGAAGATGGTGTGCTTGAATCTTAATTATCTTTATCCATGACGTTTTACATAAAATCACGCTTTATTATACAAGGATTACTTATATGAATTAAAAAAAAAAAAAGATATATTCGTGCAACATCCAAAATATAAGCAATTTGGAGATATAAATATAAGGCGTTAGAGGAAGAGAGAAGGATATACACACATACACATATACATATAGACATAATTATGCAGTAATTTAATATCTATTATAATGATCTTTATAATGATCTTACGTCCTTGTGTGTGTTAATTTATTTACCATGGGTGCACGCCCATGGTAAAGCCCGGCAATTAATCTGATTACCATTTAAAGTTTAAGATATCGATCGACGATGTTCCACGATTTTCTAATTAAGCCTTTTGGTATTTGATTATTCATGTTCAAAATCATAGCTGATATATATTAAATTATAATCACGGATTACATAATATATCAGAAGTCTTTTATAAAGCTTATACGTTCTCAGACATTGGTCAACTGATAACATTTGGAGATAATTGTTTCCAAACACGAAAGTTTAATTGAATATCACGATTTTTCACAAGTTTATATTTAATATTTAATGTTAAATACCTCTCGATCGTTATATACTTAACATTAAGTTTATTAAAGTAAACACCATTTAAGATTATAACTGATGAAGAAAGTTTCCTCTTTGTTTATACTTCTCAAGTTTAATTCATTAAATCTCATTAATTTTAATTTGCTTATATAAGTTAATTCAAAAACTATTCACGCTTCGGCTTTCAAGCAACTGCCATTTAGTTTAGTTTGTCTTTTTGGTCGAAGGTTGGTTTAGTTTAGCTTCTAGTATAGTCTTACATTGACTTTCAGTTTCGAGAAAATAAACAACTTCTAATATAGTCTATTGCATTTATATATCTTGATTTAATGGCAAACATCAGATAGCTTCTTTGGCAATTCCTAGGCCACGTGTCTCTTGCAATGTATTGCTTGTTATAATAAAGTATTTTGAGAATTAGATAGATCACACACTGTGACATAAAGCAAAAGGAATATTACGCGGTACTTAGTTTTCTAATATTTAATTTACACAGAATCACATAAAAAAACGTCTTCCTTTTTTTCAATGTGTCGAATTATTGTAAAATAAAAAGTCATTTATTTATTTATTAAAAAGTCTATTGCAAAAGTGGACGCATATGCAGATTGCAACGAATAAAGATCTTTTGACAGAGAAACCGTAACATTAGCAGATGTAAGATGATAGAAAAAACGGCAGTTGCCAATGGATCATCAAGATGGATGGAATTATCCGATAACATGTGTAATTTTCTCAGTTATCAAGCTATTTTATCGATTTTTCTTATAATAAATAGAATAGAATGCGGACGCCCAATTTATCATTCTCATTGTCGACGATAAATAAATTGCAGAAAGAGAGAGAGATTCTACCTCGTCTTAATTATATTAGACATTTATCTCTTATATTTTCACGAGATCATGATTGATATTAAAGCTTGCAATATATGTATTAAGAGAAAAATACACATGTTACTTACAAATTGTTTCTTATAAAAAATATAATTTTGCTCATTGCGCTTAATATTTTTATAAATCATTATGATTTAAAATAAATCATCAAAATATAACATAAATTAGTTAATAATTATCGGTTAAAAGATTTATTACAATGTTGATATTATAAAATGCATTTTTTACAATGTGTGTGTATGTGTGTATTTATGCAGCGTAGTTAAAATATATATCTTAGAAAAGATATATATTTTCTACGCCGCAAGACAGCATTTTACTGAATATTTTTCTTGTGCGCGTGCGATTTTTATGGAATGGGATGTAATCTTGAATTGGATAGAATCTTAATGTACAAAGAAATGAAATAGAAGGGAAGGGCTGATCAAAAGATATGGTGATTGAAGAGTGAGTACACAGACGTGCTAGCAATCAGCACACCTCTCATCTAGTTTACGAGTTCTCCAGCTTATGGAAAATATCATGTAATATGATAATCCACCGCGAGTACATTTTTTGAATAATTTTTATGTCTCAATTTAAATTATTTGCGTTATGAAAAAAAAATCTATCATGTGTGAACACAATTCTCACTTCATTTCTGTATGTTTTATATTGTGTAAATATCTTCGTATTTTTTAGGCATAAATTTTTGCTATTAATTTAAGTAATTACTATTAATTGAATTAATTATAGTAATAATTATTAATAAGTCTCAATTGATCATGTCAATAATCTCTCATTAAAAAGATTGATAAATTTAAAGGTATGTAAATGAGGAAGTTATAAAAATGATAAAAAAATCTCATATAAAAATTATATATAAACAGTATTAATGATGATATAAACGCGATGAAAAGTTAATTTAATTTATGTGCTAATTTTAAGAAAATCACATTTTTCCATTAAATGCAGATAATTATAAAAAATCGATGTGTATTTAACTGACATTATTGATAAATAGTACAATTTATTAAATTATTCGCAGCGTTAAATTTCATAAATCAACAATGTCCACAAGTTTGCTTCAATAAATATTTCAGTGTTGATTTGCTTAAAATATTGTCGACAATTTTTATCCGATATTATCCGAATGTTCTATGAAATCATGCATGTACTCGCTATAAACTTTGACAGAATGCTACTTTTCGAAATACGACACATGATACGTTGTCGTCTTTTATCATGAATTGCACAATATCGAGAATTTTATCTTCTACGATTCTCTGTTCCATGAGCGTAGATGAATTAATAAGAGGCAAGAGTAATTCTGTGAAAAGAGACACACGGCTTATATAAAATATACCGCTTGTATTGTGATTACAGCGATACTATCGTAGTACTGATCTTATTGTTCTTTTTGCTGAGTGAAAAGAAAACAATGGAATAGGACATTAAACGGGGAAATAGAAGGAGAGGTGATGAGATGCGAATCTCAAGAGAGCAATATCATTTTTCTTCCGAAAGGGGAACATTTCGGAAAGATTGTTAGGCCTCGTAACACTGAATCGAGAAAGTTTTTCGTCTTTGGAAATCTACTTGCGGTTCTGCCTTGAGTTCTGTAATTGTTCGCCGATAGGAACGTCCTTTCTTTATGGTGTGTTGCTTTATGCGAATCAGTATTTAATTTTGGCACGGTGCACTAGTAAAATAGATCATTTGTTTGTATCTTGGCAAAGATTTATCAGTTATTTGTCATACAACCTGCGTTAATAATTATTATAATAAATGCCAATAGTTTACGTGATGCTGAATCGTTTTTTAATAAATATTCTTAGCTACCTACACAATATTATAGTTATACAATTATATTTTACTGCTACTCGAAACATTACACACGCATTGCCGTTTTGAAATGTGGATAAATCATCACAAAATCTAACAAAAACTTTTTTCATAAGTATTCATAGATCAATATCCAGGCGGATGTAGTCGCAACTTTTTTGACAACCTCGATTTTTTGTGTTTTCGAATGTTTGTCATGAGAAATGAGAAAATCATCGATCATGAGCTCTTATGTTCGGTCCAGTGATACATTGTTTACTAGATAAAGAAAAACGTTCATCCCGTCTATCGCAAAAGAATATATCGGTTAGACAATCGTTGCATTTAGAATTGAGCGCAGTGTCTTCGCGTTTTAAGATAATCTTCGTATTTTATACATATATATATATATTGTACTTAAGATTAAAGTAATATTATAATATATATGTCGTGACAAACAACAGTCAGGTACAACGATTGTGTGTTGTATTTAGAGAAATCATTTTTACGAAAAAATATTTAAGTTCTATCCCCTCATTTTCGCAATAATGTAGATTCTAAAATATGTCTCGCGTTGATTCATACAAATTTTTCTAAACTATAACATCAATGACTTTCAAATTATTCGGTTAATTGTTGTGTCGAAACAAATAGCACCAAGAATTCAATATCCATGCGAAGCGCAGCTTCTTCGTGTTTCTTTCTATTCATATCCAGCGACTACGTCGGCATTCGACAAAGAATTTCGGATCACGCTAGCACTGTGAAATCACTCGTCGATGTCACATCACTGACAAGCCGACGCATCTTTAGTAATTTTTTACCATTGCATTTGACCCTGATTCTCCATTTTCGTGAACAGCGCAATAGATACGAATGTCGTCGCTACAATCAGGATTCAGCAAGGAGATAATCGGTCTATCATTTCCAACGGACAATGGAGTGCTCTCGTTTTGGAATCGCGGTGATGTCCGATCGGGAGGGAGAGCTTTAAACCTGCGTCAACAGAGTTAATTCCAGCGACTACGTCGCTACGTACTAGATACGTACTAGATACAAATGTCGTCGCTACAATCAGGATTCAGCAAGGAGATAATCGGTCTATCATTTCCAACGGACAATGGAGTGCTCTCGTTTTGGAATCGCGGTGATGTCCGATCGGGAGGGAGAGCTTTAAACCTGCGTCAACAGAGTTAATTGTGCACCGTTCTTAATTAGATCCTTATCCCTCTGTGCCAGATCTCTGGGCTCGCTGCTAACCGTGATGTTCGATCGTGAGGTCATGGTCACTGTGGTGGTAGAGGTTTTGCTGATGAGTAAACCTCTCTCCGCGTCTTCGTCCTCGAGTTCTATCCTGGACTGTCCGGAGGTAACCACCCGGTTAGACTGAAGTCTATCGACGTTGGTCTTGTTCCTTCTTGGAAACACGCTGTTCTCGATGTGCAGCGCCGCGTTTACATCTTTGCCGGCCGCACAGGTGCACGCCTTTAGGAAGCTCTTCTTGAAGTTGTCGCTGAGGAAAGCGTACAGAATTGGATTCATTGCACTATTGCTGTAGCTGAGAAAACCAGCTAGGAGGAAGCTGGTAATAGAGATGCTGGTCTGACATTGCTTCGGCGGGGTATATATCAACGCCACTTGGGTGACCCAGTAGGGTAACCAGCAGAATACATACACAGTGATCACTGTTAGCACCAGCTTGGTGACCTTTCGGTGCGATCGTTTCTTTTCCTTCGATTTGTTTTTCGGCCCCACCGTGCGTAGCTTTTTGATCACGAGGAAGTAAAAGATCAGTATAAGAACCAAGGGAACGGCGAAGCCTAGGATGAGGGTGTAAAGGGTGAAAGAGGTCTGACCGCCGCGATCGTTGGGCCAATAAATATTACAACTGACAACACCTTCCGGAGATTCCATGGCGTTCGCGTAAAGGAATACCGGGACCATGAAGAGAGCGCTGGTGGCCCAGGCAGTAAGCGAGACTACTCTGGAGATAAACGGCGTGCGCATCTTCGGGGATGATATCGGGTGGCATACAGCGATATAACGATCGGCGCTCATAATAAACAAAAAGATGCTGCTGGTGAACTGATTAATACTTGTCGTGGTCATGTATGCTTTGCACATGATCTTACCGAAGATCCAGCTACGCAAACTGATTGTCGTCACTAAGAACGGTATACCTATCAGGAAGCACTCGTCCGCGATCGCCAAGTTTACGATGTACATGTTTGTCACTGTTTGCATCTTCGAGAAGCGTAGGACAACATAAATGACCAAAGTATTCCCGAGAAGTCCGACGATGCAGACAATAGAGTAGAGAATCTGATTGACCAGAGCGATGATTGGCAATTCAGCCTCGCAATTTTGGCCTATATCGTGCGTTAAGTTGTAACTTGAATTTTGAACGTAATCCATCACGTCCATCGTTGTATTCATCATCATTGCTTTTTGGAATTAAAAACGTGAATGGGAATTCTTAGAGAGCGAACAAAAAGAATAGAAAAACACTTGACTGCACACCTTGCTCTCGAACAATTTTTTGCACCGATCTTTATTACATAATGTAATTAATCGCAGCAGGACTTTATTTTATCTAGATTGGATTACAGATATCTTCTTAATATTCTGTCAGGAAATAACGACGGAGATATTGACATAACTAAAGTTTGTTTTATTGACGAGGATAACGTACGTGACGTTGATATCATTCTGTCAATCATTTGCCGCGCGCACGATCCAAGATTATTTTGCCGGATAACAGTTTCAAGAACTTTCTCTTGTCTGCTTTATCAGATTGAACTTCGATTTTGAGAGTAGAATCTGAAACAGAGATATAAAAACAATTAATAAAAATATGCTACACGGCAATATGTATTAAATTATGGAAATAAATTATTTAATTATTGCGTCTATTTTTAATAATAATCGAGGGTATATATAAACATCCATTTTCTTGGAAATTATAATTACGCAAGGTAGGTGTTATTATCATTACACTCAACGTTCTCCCGCGATTCAACACAATTCGTCTGCAATGGGAAAGGAGTGAATAGAGATCTATTCAGAGTACCATTTCGCTCTACGCGAGACGCAATGAAATTATTGTAGGGGTAATACTGCAATAACGCTGGCGGCGACATGATAATTTTCCAAGTACCGGTTCCCAGGGAAATAATCTTGCTCGTGGAAGTTGCTCGTGCATTCTAACAATAGCTCAGAGAATTTTGTCGATGGTTTGAGAGTGAGAGACGGAGAATGTGAGCGAGATAATACCTTTGTACCGAATCGTGTTGAGCCGTGAAAGCTCTTGCTACAACTCGAAAGCTGCAGGCGGTGCAACGTTTCGGCAAACCGTAACACGCGCAAGTAGAAGACACGGCACTGATAAGTTGGACAAACGATTTTCGAGCCGTGAAATTTGAATCTTCACAGAGACAAAAAGAAGAAATGACAGCCATTTTAATGTAAAACAATGCGATGATACTTGTAACATGACGACATTTCTGTATGCGTAATAATAATTATTTTGCACTGCAAAGAAAAAAAATTAATATGTGTTAAAAATTAATCTAACGATCATCGTTAGCGTCATGTGAAAAATATCCGAAACACGTTTGTAAAAAAATTAATGATTTATCGAAAAACTGTATTCGATAAATGAATTTAAAATTTAGCTGCTTATAAAAGTCTTTACGTGAAAATTTATGACAGTTATTCTCGCCAATTTACTTAAGGAAGAAAGAACAAGACTTTTCACGTTCCTAATGGCTTTTTCTGTTTCTCTCTCTTTTTCTAAAGTAACTCGAATAAAACAAAAGTTTTCTACACCGTATAAACAGCTTGTAAAGTCACGTAAATAGGACATTTTATCTTCGAAGTAGAGCATTCGTTATCCACGAAATGGCAATCGGAAGAATTCATAGCGCGATTCATTCGGCGCGGACATAAATCTAAACCACTCTCCTCGAGAGATGGTAGGGTACGTTTATGAGTCGACAAAACTTTCGACATTTCGGTTATCACAGATCGACAGTATCGACTCATCGAAAACGTTGTTTGAAGGAATATATCACATGTTATCTTTCACATTTTACTTATGTTACGATATCGCACAATCTAACAATGCTTGGAATATCGGAAATATAAAATTACAATCACGTAATATTTGTATATATATATTTTGTTTGTTATAGATCGAAAGCAAATCCACATTTTCAATATGCGATGAATACGAGAAAAAAATTACTCAAACATTCCTGAATAAAATTCGTTGCATCGCAAGAGAGTCGTTGCCTCTTTTACACCGTAATGAGTTCCGATCGATCCATTAATTGGCATTAACATATATAATCAGCAAAGTGCTTTTACGTTATCGTTTTCCATATGATGAAAGTTTTTTTTCCCTTTTTCCAGTAACATTTCCGGTTTTTTTTTCCGTTACAGTAAAAAGCTTGGATGTGTATAAAATAATTTTTCTGCTACATTATGATTAAAGAGAAGAGAAAGAGAAAGAGAGGGCGAGAGAAGGAGATTTAAAAAATCAGAAATTATTATTGCAACGTTTTCATGAAGAGAGATAAAATTTTAAAATTTATGCAATAAAATTTTTGCGATATTTTTGCTTGTAGAAGAACACGCTTGTAGAATTTCCGCAGAATATTATTCTCCGAGCGAAGTCAGCGCAATAGAAGCATCAAACTTTTTACATAATCGAAGCAGTCATTTGCGTATTTGTAGAGTATGCGAAACACATTTTGCTTTCCAGATATTGCAGTCGTGAGATTTGTCCTTTTGCAATTTCCTATATCATTCATAAGCCATATTTCGAGCAACATCGAAGATGGAATCCAAAGTGAGAACAAGACAAGAATTAATGTAGTCAACATGTGAATGATGAATATTTCATGCATATGGCTGGCTCTCGCATTATTAAGGAATGCAGTTCTCTCCGTGGAACTTCATTTATTGACTCACATTGGCACAATGGAATTCAAGCGGGACAACTTTTTAATCTAAATCTCGAATTTCGATTAAAGTTTCCTTAATTGCGACTCTCATCCTATTCTTTTCGTAGTAGAAAAAAGTTACGTATATGTAATCGAAAATGGAATGGTACTAATTATTTTTTTTCTAGATCTCAAACCGAAAATAAGTATTCAAGCATTATCTAGCCAATTTGATAGATCAACGCACAATCTCATATATATAATTCTTTTAAGAGAAAATATAAAAATAGTTTTTAGTAAAATAATATTTTATATTCTATACAAAATTATATTGTATTAGAATATTCTATCAAATTTTATATAGATAATTTAGAAATGTATGTGTATGTGATATATATTTATTAATTCAATTAATTTTTTAATATTGTATTTTTATTTTATATTTTTATATGCTAAGAGTGCGGCTCGTATTTGTGAATTTAAGCGTCGACCATTTTCCATTATAAGATAATCGAACGTTTAATAATACAACCATAATCATTCTATCCAAATCAGCTTATATTACTTTAGCGAGCGTAGTATTTAGATTTTTATTTCAATTTACATTTTTTAAATTATTTTAAATTAATTATTTTTTGTACGAAAGAGTCATGAAAGCGAGGCTATATGGATTCATAAAAGCTGCAAATTGCTTTTAGCCGGTACTCTCGCGCTTTCGCGCCTCGGTGTGCCTATGATGCAACCGGCATTACGCCTATTAAAGTGACATTGCATTCGAATGGTGGTCGGAAAGTGTAAAAAGGATTTTTCGATAACGCGGCCAGATGTAGTCGAGTAGATTTAACGACGCGCGAACACGTTGGTTAAGCATCAGAAATTTACTCGAGTTTACTTGACTTTAGTCGTTGGGCTTTGTAAATATATTTTAAACGTTTCTCGCGGAAAAAAATTTCACGCAGAAGGGACGAGAATGAGATGGGACGAGAAAAAATGCAGCAGACACGAGAAATAATATGTAGATCTGCAGATGTACCGCCATGTAATAAAAGAGAGTAAGAGAGAAAGCACACGGTGAGAGAGAAAAAAATTAATTGCCTCCTTACTGGAATATAGTGGATACTAAAAGAAAGAACTAGATCAAACGAATGCCTCGTCGTTGAATCTTAGGTACACAGTTCTTGAAGCAATCAAGTAGATATTATAGACTACTCTTTCAGCGGGATGTGAATTTTCTTGCAACAATTAGTCGTAAACGAAGGTTATTACACGATATATGCACTGAATAGAGAGGGGTTTCACTTTTAGGTGAGAAATAACTCGAAAGAGGGCAAATATTAACAAAAGCAGACATGTGTGTATAGTTATACAATATTTAGTTAGCCTCAATTAAATTAATATACAATATTTAACATAACATTCAAATATAAATATGTGCATTGTAAGTCATTTTCTAATGCCTATTGAAGAAATTAACAATTTTTTTCATTATATATATATATATATATATATATATATATATATATATATATATAAATTTTTTA